ATGGATCCATTGGCCTTTCTTGATTGAATGTCTAATATCTAATCTAATTGACAGGATAGAACTGTGGACGTCCTCCGCTGGCGGGCCTGCTAGAACCGCAGATTGGGTTAGTGACAGACGTGACATCACGCCTATCAAGAGCATGAAAGAGCACCGATGATATCGATTTTTTGAAGCCACCGTCAGGGGTTCCATTCAGTCTGCAATTACGGCAGCTTTTACGGCGGAAAACGGAGTATTTCCGAAATGTCGCCCGGTCTCGAAAGTCATTGTAAGAAATAACGTGCAATGACGAAGGGTGAAGGTCTTAGTATGTTAGGTAGGTCAAAGTGAGTAGCGTTCCAGTGCCTCACAGAGCTGTGCGCGCAGATTGGGAGTCAATTAGAGAACATTTGAAACGCTCGTGACCTAATGAAGAAGGCACTGGAGAATCGTCGAAACTCCCTGATTCAGCCTTCCATAGCTTATCTAGGCATCGTGTGACACCACCACACAGAAAAGAGAACGTTGAGGAGAAGATAGTCTGCCTACTAGGGCACGAGAAACGATAGAGATGAAGGAGACGCAGGCAGATTTTGGGCTTTCAAGAAGCTAGTCCGGGTTCTCAACAGGAGGCCCGTCGTGCGGGGCTAGGCAGTGTCAGCGGACGAGTCGCAGCGCTTACTGTAGTGATTTTGCGTCAAGTCAAATGCACCACTGCGCGTGGCACGTCGCACATCACATCACGAGTCCGCAAGCGTTTGCAGCTTGATGGCTTTGTATCGCCTCGTCTTGAACCTAGGCAACTTTTCATTGCATGGCGCTCTACTAGATGAGCGCACGACGTGCCTTTAAGTCTGAAAAAAGGATGCTTCTAGTTTCTAAAAGAAAGGCTGCTCCTCTTTTTTGAGTTCATCTATGAAAGTTACACTCACACTTTGGAGTTTCAGGAAATTATTAACTTGAATGAGGTTGTCAGCAGATATAATTCTTCGTTAATCAGTAAATCGATTCAGATCTTTTGTACGCTCGTGGACTTTGCCCGAAAATGTGGACCTCGACGCTGTCCGTACTCAGCTCAACGACGCCGGTCATCTATCCATTGAAGCCCCAAAAGTGACAGAGACAAGCAATCAGCGTCGTGCTATCCCAATCGAGAGGGCTCCTTCCAATAAGCACTAAACGCACCGTGACTTCTAGACAATTCTATTTCCCTCGACGAAATAGTGAACTGCCTTTCAAGATGTTTCATAAGTTACGCATGGGCATCGTGCTCTATTTTCTGGGACATTTCCATCTCATTATGTACTACAGTGTCGTGGCACCCTTTTTACGATTTGTAATTAAAAACAATTTTTTCGAACTTGCAATTTTCCTGGATAAACTGTTTAGCCGCGTGATATCATATCTTCTCAGATACGGGCTTCACATCAACTGCCGCGCACCGTCGCGTCGCGGTTGGAAGTCTGCCAGTACTGCAGAAAGAGAGCCTTTTTATAATACTGAGTATCTAATAGAATAGCCACATGACCACATGATCGATAAGTTTTATTAAATACATAATTATCAAGCAAAAAATACAACTTGTAAGTCTATCACATTCTTTAGATCATTCGGTGTAGAGGAGGAAAAATGACGATTATAATTGTGTTTGGAAGTAAACCATGACCTTGCAAAGGCGTAAGGGTAAGGCTATGCAGTTGTGGATTTAAAGGCAGGGGTAACGATGACCGACAGGCGGTGCGGTTTCGATGACGTCAATTAATTCCCTCATCGCACTGTGCGTGTATGTAGTTGAGAACGCCTCTCCACCACTCAAAAATTTTTCAAATTTTTTCAAAAAACCAACCTCTTTTCCCCTTTTCAATAAATGACGTCGGATCTACTGGTTTTAAATATACATTTTTCTCAGATTGATTAAAAGCAGGGGATCAGAATGCTTGAAGGCCGTTTTCCGCATTCTTCCAACCCCTTCAGCAAATGTTTTCGAAATTTCAAAGCCTCCAAGTTTACCTAATTCACGGGCTGGGAAGTAAGGACAAGCCTTTAGTTGAATTGAGCTCAGTGGATATCATCCCCATTCCGGTAACGATGCTAAATCAAAAGAAAAATAAAGCGTCAAGCATAATGTTGTGGAGAAATTCTCCAACGTGACCCCGGTGCCAACCATAACCCCTACAGCCTTCCTTTCCTTCAAACCCTTCTTCCTATTCATTTTCCCAACCCGCTGAGGGAGGGGAGACACATGAAAAGATTTCGAAACCTACAAATTTGTGCTAACTTTCTGAAAATCCCAAATAATCCTCTAAGTCCTAAATTCAGCGCTCTCTCACAGCGTAGACTTTCCCAAAAGCGGCCCTTCCCAACGCTACCGCTCATAGGAAGCTAGTGGCTGCGATGCCAGCGCTTGGGACCACTGTGGCGCACCCACGTGCCACAGTGGCCCCAGAGAACCGTTGAACCTTTCCTCCGTATATCTTGGACATTTATGTGGACAACGAGACATATTGAAGCTGTGTTAGAAAGGAACAACGAAGACTGGAAGTGAGCGTATTAATTGAGCACAATAACAGTTATTAATGACAAAATCCCGTAATGACCATTTATGAGATCAGAGGATAACGTGACGCTTCCTCAAAGTGCCTATTCGAACCAGTTCACAAAACAGATTGAGGCTTTTATAAGGCCTCCAACCCTTACGGCTCTTAGCTTAGCTCCTAAGCTTACAATTATCTCAAGTTTCTGTACATTTCACTTGCAAAAAGCGCTTATCTTCAGAACTTAGCTGTTTTGCTAATATTGGGTTTCGAAATTGGGACGTTCGGGTGCGATTTGTCCATTCATTGTGATCCTTTCCGAGCTGTACTGAACATGTGGTACTTTTCGGTAGTCTTTGTGACTCCAATCGCCTTTGACGATTCGGCTCCAATTCACGTAGACTTGAGAGAAGTAGATGAGCAGAAACATGAAGAACGTGAAGACGGTCATTGCGACCAGGATGACAACGGCTGTACGGCTGCTTATCGTCTTCGACAAAGGGATTCCTAAAAAGTAACTCGGTTATGATGGGTATTGAAAAATTCACCCTTTTAAAAGATTTCTTCAAAGTAGTTGCAGGGCAGCGATCACGATGGAGGGGAGGGTGATGCGGTAATGTCGTCCTTGAACATCATAGTAGAAGGCAAAAGAGGCGGTGCCAAGCACCCGACG